TTAGCTATAGGAGAGGGAAGACCTCCCCCTTCCACGGACTCCGGCTTTGGGTCCCCTTCTTCCTCTGGGGAGAAGGCTTTCTGCTGTCCTTTCATAAAGCTTCCACTGTCCACTCTACACTTGCCTCAGCGTGCTCCTCTGGTGTCCTACTTCAACATTCGGGGAAGCAAGGACTGTCACTGGTCAACAGCGGGAACCTTTGGAGGGGAGCGGTTTCGACCGTGAGACCACCCCATCAGTACGTCCAAGTCTGGTGGACGGTGTGGTGACCGCAGGCAGCTGGGTGTGGAGGGAAGAGTGGGTGCTTCCTCCCTGTGGCCCTGTCCCCTGTCCCTCTGCTCCCCAACCACCAAGTCCTGAGCAGCTKCCCTCTGCCCCGCCCTTCCCAGGATGCACTGCCTCCTCTTGGGCCCAGAGCGATGGACTTGGCTGACCCAGGACTGAACCTCTGACCCAGGAATCAAAATCAACTTCCCTTCCCTGGGTTGTTCTCCGCAGGAGTTTCAGTCATAGCAGGAAAGGCCGGCTCACACGCTGTGCGTCGTCTTTACACCCAGGTTTCATGCCCAGGGCACACCGGGGTGAGCGTGTGACTGGACCAAGGGGGTGGGACCCACAGGTCACACCCAGGGAGTCCTCTCTGTCCCTGTGACTCTGGACAGAAGTGTTCCCTTTCCGTCCCTCTGGGTGGGGAAGCCACCTGCGGAGGGGCCTCRCCGCCTGGTTCACAGGAAGTCAGAGTCCTCCCGGGGCCTGCTTCAGAGGAGAAGAGCAGAGGTCGGGAGGCTGCTTCTGCCCTGTGCCACGAGGTGGGGAGTCTTCACACTCCACGTTGTAGGCTCTGCTCTCACGACTGTTTTGTCATCTTTACGGTAGGAAACAGGTTGGGCTTCAGGTGAGCAGGGTCTGCAGCGTGTCCCTACTGTCTTTCCTGAGTTGKGAGTGTGTGTCTTCTTCTTTTTCAATCAAACTGGACAGATGTGTAGCAATTTTGTTGACCATTTCAAAGAACACGTTTGGGGATCACTTGTATTTTTTCTGTATTCGACTTCAGGGAATCATGTTCTTCTCTATTCATCCCTTCTCTTGGCTTTGGCTTTAAACTCTCTTCTTTTTCTACCTTGTTAAGGTGGAGGCCTAGGTCTTTTGTGTATTTTCCATCCTTTTAAGTGAAACTATTGGAGCTAACAATTTCCCTTATGGATGCCATTATCTCCATCTCACAAATTCCGATCTGCTGCATTCTGTGGTCACTCAGTCTACACTACCTAAAGTGATCTTCAGATTTTAGGTCATCTCTATATCAAAATTCCATAGCATTTATCACAGAAATAGAAAAAAAAAAAACAAAAACTTTAAATTTGTGTGAGACCAAAGGACCCAAAATAGCCAAAATAATCTTGGGCAAAAAGCAATCACACTTCTTCATTTCATAACATGTCGATTGATCATAATCAAAACACCATGATATCAGTATAAAGTGGACAGTGAACAGGGCCCGGGAAAGAAGTCCCAGAAACGCACCTACACACTTAAGGTCGACTGCTTTCCCACAAAGGGGCCAAGGACACACAGTAGGGATAGGACAGTCTCTTAACCAGTGATGTTGGACATCAGATGTGAAGAATGGAAGCGGATCCTGACCTCACACCATATAAAACCCAA